AGCCAAAAGAAGTTGTTCATGTACGAGCAAAGAGAGGCCAAGCAACTGATAGTCACAGCCTGGCCGAAAGGGTTAGTACTGTAATAGTATCTCATATGTATGATTATTGGTTTGCTTCATTCTACATCAATCTGGAAACACAAAGAATATTTCTTTATTCTTTGCAACAGGTAATATATCTCAGATGTTGTACTAGATTATGATCTATCCCAAAACGTTTTGATGAGTTCATTAACCCTATCTTAAAAAAAAGGGGTAGAGAATCAAGTTAATAATGGGGTTTTTTTCCATCTGCTCTATAGATGCGAAGAGAGAAAATAAACCAGAAGCTCAGATGTTTGCAAGATCTAGTACCAGGATGTTACAAGGTAAGTACGTTCGACATATTTATTTTGCAGTTCCTCAATTGCAAGCTAATAATTCTCCTCAAATTTTCTGTATTTAATTCATTTTGATGCATCCCTTTATAAGGTTGCAAAGTAGTATAATCTAGCCTAATCTTCATTGAGTCCCTTATTCTCCTCTCTTCAGTTATGAACTCCACCTTTTCTTCTGTTTTTCTTTTAACTGATATCATTCATCAATGGTTGCAGTCTATGGGAATGGCAGTCATGTTGGATGTAATAATCAATTATGTCCGCTCTTTGCAAAATCAGATTGATGTATGTTGTTTCCTTTAAAGAAAACCAACATACTGTACTTTGTTTTTTTAAACCTCATTACTCGCTTCTTTGTTGATCTATTCTTGTCTTTCTCTCAGTTTCTCTCCATGAAACTGTCTGCAGCAAGTCTATTTTATGACTTCAACTCGTTGGACATGGATGCCGTACCTCCAACCCAAGCATGTGCTAATTTCCCAGTACGTTGAGTCTTTGTCAATTTTCAATTGAATCTTCTGATACTTTTGCTCTCAAAATTTCCGGCAGGCCTGGTTATTATGTGTAGTTGTCTTTAAAAAAATAATAATAAAGAGAAAGGAAAAAAGGAGAAAAGAGCTATACTCTACTCAATTGCTACTTGTGAAAGGAGCTTATTTTAAACTAGATAACATTTGTTTGTCAGTGAGTTTCATTTTCATGCCATTGATGAGGAATGGCTTGTTCTTTAGGGACCTCCTGGGTGTGAAGCGCAAGGACTAGAGAAAATGGTGGGAGAAGGATATGGTGAACTTCCTCAGTTTCATACCTCTTGGCCTCTTTGACTTAATTAACTTGCAATGAAATAATGTATCTTTGTAGTGTTTGATCCTGTAGATCGTTGTTACCGAGTGATCTTTTTTCCCTGATTCCACACTTATTGTGACCCCCAATCCTTATACTTGTAGTGATTGAAAACCCCATACAATAATGCTTTAACTATCGAATGTAGTGTTTCACCTTTGTTTGTTTTCTTCATATTTTTACCACCAAATTGTGTGTAAAATCAGCTAGGGAACATCCATGTATGAATCTGCAGCACAGCTATATGATACGAAGCTTTATAATCTAGCCCTGGAGTTATTTTTTTTTCTTGCACTGTTTATAGTCAATTAGGGTAGTTTTGATCATTAAACTGCTGACCACAGAATCTAAAAGACACGATTTGTCCAAAGACTAGGGTCACCTGAGACCTGACAGCTTGACAAAACTTGTGATAACCTTAATGTTCTATGTCGTACCAATTGATCCAGACAGTTTGCTTAGAAGCAAAATCCTTTTCAAATCCAGGGAGAGCGAGTTATCATGAATAGGTGATATCCGTTGTTGTAATGAATCTTCCATTATTAGATTAGAGAAAATGACATCTGCACAATTGATCCCTATGTAGAGCCAGAGTGATCACTTAATTATGGAAGATGAACTATTGATCGTTAGTGTTTCGGAAAGGTACATTCCATCTTTTATATGATGTGATGTATCGAATGGAAGCAGTGCCGATTGGCCCAATTGATCAATAACACCAGGAATATATAATTGGTCATAGAAGCAAAATTACAAGTTCTTCATCCCCGTTCCTGTTCTGTGTTAAAATCCGCAGATAAATCGACTAGTAGAACAAGACGATCATCAACTGCTGTATAAGCAGATTGAAGGAGCTTCAATGATACCGTTGTTGCAGCAGATTTTTCATACAGATGCACAAAAAAAATACCCGTCAAACGCATGAGAAAATAAAAAATGCTAAATTTTTTTTTTCTTTTTTCTTTTACCTTCCATCCCTCCCTACACTCTTCCCACCCGAACTCTGAAGTTGACAGTAAAAAACTTTTTTTTTTCTAATTTGACTGTTGGACCAATTCCAGTGATTAAAGTTGATTGTTACCCCTAAGACAATGTGTTATTTTGCCGGCAATTAATCAGTCTTTCTACTGTTTCTATCCGAAAAAAATATGTTAAGAAAGGGACCGTGACTGTTTTATGAATAGTTGCCATGAAAAGGAGTGGAAGGAGATAGAGCGAGGAATTGGCGGGCAAATGCCAAATGGGAGAATGAAGGTTGAGAGAGAACATCATGGCAGACTTTAGCTGAGAAGAGTCGTGAGCCTTGCAATTTAATGCGCGGCAAGGACTTTTAACGGAGCTTCCAAATTCCAATAATCTATTCTAGGCTGGGCCGTGAGAGAGAGGACACGTGCTGGACAATGGGGACAGTAATAGTAGCATCCACCATTGGTTATGGACTTTTCAAACCTCCATTGTTGCAATAAGATATTGATTATTATTTCATTAATAATTGGAAGCATAAAACTCCAAAACGAATTGCTGTACAACTTCATGGTGTTGTTGACTAACAATGACCAAAAAAAAATGTGGAAGCGGGCAACTTCCAACTTCTTGTTAATTAGCTATGGCGATGGCGGAGATACGTGTGTATTCAACTCTTGGATAACACCAAAAAAAAAAAAACTTTTGGATATCACAAAACCAACCATGCATGTTACCTAAATAGAAAATTTCATAGCTAACTAGCTGAGTACATTTTGGATTGTGAAATGTTACGTGAGTATATATGCGCAATTGGTTATCCCAATTTTATGCTTCATTTAGATCCAAATTTAAGCAACTCTTATAGAGTTCAACTCTTTTTTTTTTTTGATATATTTGAAATATGAATTAACATTTTTTGCAATGATAATGTAATGGTTTTTTTTTTACACTAATAGCAATGAATGTATGATACACGTGCATGATTCGAATTCAAATTTGAATTCACGTTATGTAGCATATGATTTAAACCTGATGGTATAAAAAAAGAATTGTAAATGAACACTTCTCTCGTTTGACCAACAAAAAATGCTGCATGACAAAAAAGGAACAATCATGCCTATTCTTGATCATACTTCTTAGCTTTAGACCCCATTTGGGGGCTGCGTTGCTTTTACGAAAAAACACTTTTAACCATTAAAAATACTTTTTGGGGTGCTTGGTAATTAATTTCCTGTAATTTAAATGCTAAAAGTACTTCTTAATGTTTAACAACTAATTTCCCGTTTGACAATTTATATGTGTTGTAGGGAGGGTTTTATCAGAATACTTATAACTCCTCGTTCTATTTGTATAACTCCTCATTCTATATCTATATGTGTTGTAAGGAGGGTTTTATCAAAATACTTATAACTCCTTATTCTATTTTTAGGATGGTTAAATCAGAATACTTATAACTCTTCATTCTTTTTTTTTATATATAGAAATTTAAATTTTTTTAATTGTTATATATCATTTCATGTTTTTTGAATTTAAAAGTAGGAAGTGGTCCACTTATATTGGAATTTGATTTGAAATCTATAAATGTAAGGGTACATAAATAGGAAAATCACTAACCCTACTAAAAGTAAAAAAGTAAATAACAATATTTTACTCTTCAACTTAGTAATCCTAACTAAAATAGCAAATTATATAGAAAACAAAAAGAAAATAATATTCATTGGTCATGGATTTAAAATATCAATAATGGTACCATTTGTAAATCCTAGATTATGAAATCACTAAATAGAAAAAAAAGTACTACTAGCCTAGAAAAACAAATTATAAATTTAAAGTGTTTAGGAGAATGGTCAAGGGAAAAGAATAGGAAATTGGGTGGCAAAAACAGAAAGTTACAGGTTAGCTATAGGCGAGAGAAAGAGAATAGCAAGGAATTAAAGAGTAGTGGAAAAAGTCGAATAAGAAAGGTAAACTACTACAAGATTGGACAAAGAGAGGGGAGAAAAAAAAATGGATTGTAAGGATATGACAGGAAGGATGACACCATAGTAAGATATTTAAAAGTCATAGAAGGCAACGGATAACCAATTAGCAAGTAAGAGATCATGGAAAAGGTGATAGTTTTTAATACATTTGAAAATTTAAAAAACACATCTTACAAATATTATTTTAAATCTATATTAAAATTTATGAAGAACATTATTCTATAAACACTCAACAATTTTAGGATTACAAGATGAAGAGAAAAATTTTATAAAATTGAGGAAAATGAATTAGTTATACTTTATATTTTTAATGTTAAAATTTTTTATATATAGGTATAGCATGATATATTGATAAATAAGTTTACAATTACACTATCATGTAAATCGTTATAAATTAAATTATTTTATTCAAATTGTTATCATATATTGACAGATAATAGGCTAACAAAATTTGGTTTCAACTTATTTAAGATATTAAAATTAAGAAAATCCATTTTGTACTTACGAAATAAATATTTTTTTAACATGTTACGCAAACACTTCTTTAAACTTTTTTACCTTTTTCATATACTTTATCCTATACTGTAATAAATAAATATTGTTTTGAATTAAAATATAAATCCATGCATATCACGGGTCAAGATGCTAGTTTAAAAGTACTTTTGTAATAAGTACTTGTGCCAGAAGTGTAATTTTTAAGATTCAAAGGTCCTCGCGATGAATGTTAATTAAAAAAAAAATGGACATTTGGTGAACACGTATCGTGCACGTGACATGAATGCGGCGGCAAAGGTGTTGGAACTTGGGAGCTGGCAGCTATATCGTAACGCCCAAAAATACACAAGAAGAAAATGGAAGGAAAGCCCACCAAAATTGATTCTCAAAATATCCAAAGTCCAAAAGGCCACAATCACGGACAAACACGAAAATGTCACATTCGACCTTTCCCACCTCCTCACGTGCTCTGGCTCCATGGTGCAATGTTCACCGGCGATCACCCAATTCTCCGTTCAGCTTCCGGCGGCATCTCCGGCTTCCACCACTAAAGTCAACTCCCATTCTGGCTAAAAGGGTCTCAAAATCTGTTGCAATCTTGGACTTCAAAGGTGGCAAAGGGTACTTAAAATTTTTTAACCTCCTTTGAGTGAAGTGAGGCCATGAGGGTGCTTTCTATTAAACTCTTTCTGAAATAGGATACCAATTTGGACTCTTTTTCATTTTTAATAATAAGAAAAAATGGGATTTGAAAATCCAATTTTTTTTTATGCTGCCAAATTTTTTAGCTATCAGAATGGTGACTAATGTACGAGGTGGATTGGTATTCTTAATCTTTTTCTTTCGCTTTGTTCTTGCTTGCGATTTTTTGAAACTTAGGAAGGGAAAGTTTCTTTTGTTTTACAAGTTTATTGAAACTCTTTAGGAAGGTTGAATTTGGTGGACTTTGTTGTTTGTGAAAAAGGATTCATCTTTTTGCTTATTTGTTTGTTTTATGCCGTGCTAGTGTTTATCTGATGAATATTAGACTGGGTAGTGAACATCTCTCTATATGGGTTGGAAAATGCAGAGCGTAATTCAACGGTTCAGATTTAGCCTTTTTGGAAATGGACCACTCTTGATAAATTGTGTACTCGCTTCCTAAGAAGATGCAATGCTATTGTGGTTGTCTACAGCATGTGGTTTAGGATTTAGATTTTATTGTAGCTGTCGTGTGATTGTGGACAATACACCTTTTGCTTATGTTAACCAGCAGTATGTTTATATCTTGGCAGAATGGGTGGGTTCCATGAAGTTGAGCTCAAAGTCAGAGATTATGAGTTGGATCAGTATGGTGTTGTCAATAATGCCGTTTATGCAAGTTATTGCCAGCATGGTGAGACTTTTTTCACGACTTCATGATTAGCTTGATTGTCTTGTAGCCTACGATTTTCGTCATGAATGCAAATTATCTGAACTTAAAGAATTGGCTTTTCAACTTTTGTTGTTCGTAAGTTCGGCTGAGAACATCTTTCTAGGACATGCCAGCAAACTTTACCTTTTTTGTTGAGGGGTTAGAGCAAATGTTGATATCCGTAAATTTTGATTACCTGAAGCAAAAGCTCTAGCGGGAAATCTTATTACAGATTGCTATATCTACCACTAGATGCATTTGGTTCCTCTTCTTTTCTTCAAGCGCTTCCTTATCTGTGTTGCGCTGCTTCCTCTTGTAAAAGTTTTAGCATTTTGATGATACACACTCGTTAAAGTAGCTAAAAGTTTTTAGTATGTTAACTTATCCATTGCTAGTAGATTATTTAGGAATTAGGACCATAAGCAAGAAGAAAGTCTTGTCATCCTCAACCTGTTTTGAAATTTAGATAAATGAAGTTCAAGCTTTAGAAGTGGATGTCTAGCGATGAGGTATAAACTTTGTTGTCTTAGTTGTGGTTACAACCACATATCACTTGCAGTTCTGCTTTTCTTTGGTTTTACAAATGCAAGTGCTATATACTCTGCATAGCACCTCAATAATTTTGATATACTTTTCAGACATGGTCTGACTATCATCCAACAAAAACTAATCTTTCGTGCCTTCTTAATGATCACTCATACTGCCTGATGAGTGTGTTTAAATGACTGCAACAGCATAGAGATGAAAAGATGAGACTTTCCTTCTCACATAGATTAAACTGATCAGGGATATGGTTTTTCAGGCATGACATTTACAGTGAGACAGTGAACCATCATTCTGCTAAATAAACTGCCATTTGTACCAAATACCTTGAACTGGCCAGAAAAAATAAATGAAAATGTAGTACTAAGTGCTTGATTGAGTTACATGGTGTTACCATGATTGGATAAGATATATAGAGACAATTTTTTGTGTGCTTTGAATGGGTGACTTCCCATCATAGTTCTCCAAAAAACTCTTATTTTACTTTCGTAACTTAAACAGGCCGTCACGAACTTCTGGAGAGGATCGGTGTAAAAGCTGATGCAGTTGCACGCACTGGTGATTCATTAGCATTGTCAGAACTGACCCTCAAGTTTCTTGCACCTTTACGTGTAGGTATTCCATTCTGCATCTTTTTCGCTAAGCATTTCACGCTTCTTATTATTGATCAGTAATTGTTGGGTCCATTGTCATCCCGAAATCTGAAGTCATCTCTCAAACACGATCGCCCACATCAGTGAAGATAATTGTGCACTGACTTTTCTTAAACTCCATATATTGAAGTGCTGTTTTATTGCTGGACAGTAATCAAATTAGTCTGAATTGGTTAATGTGATTTAAAGGCTGAAATTAAAAAGGAAAAAAAGATAAATATTTACGTGGAAAGGTTGATTTCTCAGATTTTGATATAGGGGGACCCCTTACAGCACCAGCATGAATGTATTTGTTGGACATTTTTCAAGTTGTAAACGAGTTTTGCGCTTAAAATAAAGTAGTTAGAGAAGTGGACGAGGAGCGACTAACACTATGTTGTGCTTCAGTTAGCGGAGCTTAGGAGGACTGCTGAGACTCATTGCTAGCTTAGGATGTGATACCAGTTCTCATGCTTTTGTCTATTTGATCAGAGTGGAGACAAGTTTGTTGTGAAGGTTAGGGTATCTGACTCTTCAGCTGCTCGGTTGTTCTTTGAACACTTCATCTTCAAGCTGCCAAATGAAGAGGTTCAGATTTTGTCTTTAAGCTTTAATTGTACTTATCAAGGATTCATCGTGTTAAAACTTGTCTATTCGTTTTTCCAGCCCATATTGGAGGCTAAAGCCACGGCTGTTTGGCTTGACAAAAGCTACCGTCCTGTTCGCATTCCTGCAGAGGTCAGATCGAAGTTCAACCTATTTCTTCGCCATGGAGAGTCCAACTAATACTCATCTAACATCTTATGACGGATCATTTTAGTTGAAGACCTTGCACTGTCGTGGTTCCCCTGTTTCACTTTGCTCAGCTTCACATTATTCCACCTATTCTTTTTGCTTCCTTTTCTGATGTGAGGATAACAGACTATACTTGGACATAGCTTGTAAAGTCTGGAATGCCATGCAATCTGAATTGGGTTACACCGAGACAAGTGCTTCCTTAATGTACTCAAAGATGAGGAAGGATATGGAATTTAAAACTTCTTAAGAGTCTCGTGTTCCTTTTTTTTTCCCCCCATGGGTTAAATAGAGCTGCGGATTTCCCTTGTGCGGATTCATTGCCAGACTTTTTGGATTTTATACTGGTTTAAGAATGATTGGAGTACATCAGTTTGGCAACAGAAAGTTACAGATTATGCCGATATCTAACATGGGTTTTACGGCCACTCTCGCTTTGATGTTCTCCATGCTTAGTTGGAATCAATCTGCTCTCCAGATGTGCGAAACAAATCGTTGCTGGCTAAGTAGAAAATAGGTGATGGACAAAATTTTGCGAGTGTGCTGGAGAGAAAACAATGACCACCATAAGGTCCAGGTGAACATATGTAATGCTAGATCATTCTTGTTAATCGAGAGTAGATGCTACTGCACATAAAACCAGTAATCTGGCAATTCATCAATTTCTTCCTGAGTTGTGAAGTGCAGAAAATATTCGTTGCGACTTATCTAACTCAATTTAGTCTAATTCTAAGAATACAGAAATCTACGAGAACTGCCATTGGTGCAGTAGACCAAGCCTAGCCTTTAATTATGATCCTTTGCATTTGTGCACCAGGTAAATAAATCGTATTCTTCCGTATAAATCGTCATGTTTGTTAATACATTGTGTTGTAATGGAAATTATGCAGTGATTTGAGAAAGGCATCTAGCATGAAATCTGAACTGCATTAAAATGATTAGTTAAATCCACTGGTTGCACTTTTTCTTCTTTTTGGACTTCCCGCTGCAGAGCAAAGAACCAAGACCAAATAAACTTCCACTGCCCTTGGAAATGCAAGCATGTGAAATGTTGAGTACGGGACTAACTCTAACTCCACTTTCATAATTCTTTCTTGAAGGACTTCTGTATGCTCGATGTGAGTAAAAATAATGACCGGAGGATGATGGTACAGATGAATCTATTCGCTTGTTCCATGGTGGCCGATCTTTCTGGGAATGCTGCTTCTTCAGAACCTTTGGTACCCCTGATGCTGTTGGATTGGGAGCAGAACCAGTTGAATTGCTCCGTGAGAGAAAATGTAAGGATCGGATTAAGGTGCTACTTCTACTGCTATTTAAATTCAAACTGCTGCTTCTTCGGAACTGCCAAAAAGGTTTGGATGATGGCTTCTTTTCTTCTTCTGTTTCTTCATCAGATTCAGTTTCAGGGTTGATGGACAATAGCTCCTTCAAACTCTTTTTCTTTGTATCTAAATTCAGGGCTGTATCTGCATTGTCAGTGGCTGAACTTGTAGCTGCAGCTGAGAAGTTAAAGGCCGTATCTTTTCGATAACATGACGAAATTGGCTTAGATCGATAAATTTCTTTAGAGGCTGTTTCTTCACCAGGCTTGATGGTTGTGATTTTCTTGACTTCTGTAGGAATGATCTTGCCATTTGCAAACAACTCATCTGCAGATGAAAGCAGCCCCTGTGAGAAGCTTTGACTGATGCTGAAATTGAAATCAATGGATTCCAAAAGTAATGCATCAGATCGATGTTGGTAGCGTTCGCGTGGAATTGGATCTGTTTCCCTAAGATCATGAGAAAATGAGATTCTTGGACTTACAACAGGACTTGAAACTTCTGAGCATACATCAACTGCCATACCCCTAATATTCTTTTTACGATGAGAAATTCTTATAGGAAAGGGAGCATATATAGGGCTGGTAAAGCACAAGATCCGAGAGGACGAACAAGAATGTTATGCAGTTAGATTTTATGGTCAAAAGTGCAAAAGAGAAAGAATTGATATGACCGGAATAAGAGCCAGCTTTTGCTTTTCATGTTAAGATTAGATCAGTGGAAAAGATTCCAATAGAGGAAGAGAGAATAAAGTGTGTCATCAGGAGACATGACTCATTTCACAGTGGGGTAGCAGTGAAACTTGCATTATGCCAAATGATTCTGAGAGAAGTAAAAACAGATCACATTGCCAAGGAAAAGTGAAAGAATTTGCGCACCGAAAGGCTATGGAAGGAAATCTCCCTATAGGGTTCCCTAGGAAAGCTTTTGAAAATGGAAGGAAAGAAATACTCTATGAGTATTGATAAAGAGATTTTCACCCCCTAGCTCTCAAGGTTCAAGGCATTATATACTAGAATGGAACAGACAGATTACAAGGATGGAATTTTGCAGGCGTATGAAAACTAGGAAGCACTATTTAACTTTGGTTTTCTGGTCAGGTGTCAGGATATACACCTCGAGTCCCAACAAGAAAAGTTTAATTTTATATGCACATTTGTTTTCATTTATCATCCTCTGTCTGGATAGTTATGGGAAAGTTGGTAAATTATTGTATGCGTAGCCCTAAAAAATATACCATCTTTGCTTTTCACTACTCTCTACATTACACTCTTTTTGGAATCCAAGTTCCGATATACTCCTCTAGTGGTTGCAACTTGCAATGAAGAAGATCAGAAAAGATTATGCATTAAAATTTTATAGTACAATGCACTCCAGATTCATACATTTCTCATCAAATTTGACACTTTTTTTTTTTGTTTACGAGCATATGATTTTGTTGAAAGATATTGTTGATGAACATAGACAATGGTGGTGCCTATGTTTGATTTGTGTTGTACAGCACTAGAAAATTGAGAACATTTAACAGCCTGTTGTCTGGCAGCATTATTGCATCTATAACGTCCGATGACTAGGTGCCAAACTTTCACTTAGATTTCAAAGTAGCATGAAGAGCAAAGCTATGAAAGAGAATTTTGAGAGCGACATTGTTCAAGTTTTAGAGGGCAGGCAATCGTACTTTTATGACTTTAAAGAAAAAAAAAGAAAGAGCTTGGTCTATAAGATGAGATGATAAGAAGATTAGAACACAAATGTCACTTTACACTTCTTATATGAATGCAGATTTTTTTTTTTTTTGTCAACTTCAAGATTGCAATAATTGATGATAGAAGTGACGGAAACTAGACAACAACTAGACACACTACATGATTTATACTATATTATGCTCATTTCCTAAATGGACTAGAAAATCTTTCAAGAAAATGAACAATTTACTCTGACGGCCCTTTTTATCATTCCTGAGCGCATTTATTTGTTGGTGCCGGGTGCTGGACCAATCATATGACACAATGTCCTTTTAGACGCAATCCGCATCTCCCACCAAGGTTTAATTACAACTTTCAAAGTGCCACTCAACCATTCGACCGTCCAACGGCTCTCCTATCGTTTCAGGGGTAAAAAACGAAAAAAAACGACCGTCCACAAGCCTTGGCCGTAGGTGCGGGTCCGAACCCGCCTGTATTTCTTTTTTGAAAAATTGTTCAAACATTTTATAAGATGACTTTTTTCGTCCTTCACTTTTAAAAATATAATTTTACATTTCTTACAAATTCACATTATCCAAATTTGGTCCCTACTTAAGTTTCTGACTAATTTTTTGCCGGAATCCATCACGCGACTTGCACGTGATCATATTTTAAGGGCAAAATTATCAAATCAAATTTTATATAATTCAATTCATAATTCCTCACATTTCACAAAATAAATTTTTTTGTTCCTTACATTTCACAAAATAATTTTTTCATCCTTCACATTTTTTAAAATGAATTTTTTATTTTTTATTGATCATGTGTGTAAATAATTTTTTTTAAATTCATGTATATATCTATTTAATTTCACCTAAATAGTACGAATAGCATGTGAAATCAGATAGAGATATATTACATACTATTCGTACTGCTCAAATGAAATCAAGTAGATATATACATGGGTTTAAAAAAATTGTTAGTTTTTCACTTATATTCATTTTCTTTTACTCGAAATTTGAAAATAAAGAAGATATTTAATCCTAAATATTAACGAGTGTTTATATCGAATTAAATTTGGACAGAAAAAATAAACAAAAGAAAAATATGACAAAAAGAAATAAATGATTGGCACTTTCAAGTTTTAAAACACTTACAAGGCAAGCAATTCAACTGTTGGTCTTAAAAGTGTCGAGTAGAAATTTCAAATTTAAACTGAAAGTTGTTAACACAATTATAGAATTCGAATTAGGACCCATTAATTATATGACCTTATTATACAACTCAATAAATAAATTATTATCAAAGGAGAAAAATCACAAATATTGAATAGGTTCAAATGGTGAAATCATATAAATATATACATGGGTTTCAAACAAAATTATTAGTTTTAAGCCTCTATATATATTTATTGAATAGCATGTATATAACTACGATTAGCATGTTTAGATGAAATCCAATAGAGATAAATTACATGATATTCATACTGTCCAGGTAAAATCAAATAAACATTTACGTGGGGTTTATAGAAAAAAAAACTATTCATACACATGATCAATGAGGGATGAAAAAATTCATTTTGAAAAATGTAAAGGATGAAAAATTTTATTTTGTGAAATGTAAGGGACGAAAAAATTTATTTTATAAAATGTGAGGGATTATGAATTGAATTCTATAAAATTTGATTTGATAATTTTGCCCTTAAATTATGATCACGTGCAAGTCACGTGTTGGATTCCGGCAAAAAATTGGTCGGAAACCTAAGTAAGAACCAAATTTGATCAATATGAATTTGTAAAGGACGTAAAATTACACTTTTAAAAGTGAGGGACGAAAAAAGTCATCTTGTAAAATGTGAGGGACGTTTTGAACGATTTCCCTTCTTTTTTTTATCGAAATCGATAAATAACCTACACATACACCCATCTAATTTAAACACACGCAGGAGTTAATCGAAAAACGGCCCGAAAGCAATCTAAGGGGGATCCACAAAGAATCACTATTCAACCAATTGGTAACTGAACAGGGTTCCTGTGGACTTTAAACCTAGAGTAAAAACCCCATGATCTTTCGATGTGGGATAGGATACCCTAAGCCCCCCTCCCCCGCACGAACACTCTCACCAACTGAATGGTTTGTTTGTTTTTTATCGAAATTGATAAATAACCCACACATACACACCCACCTAATTTAAACACACGCAGGAGTTAATCGAATAACGGCTTGAAAACAATCTAAGGAGGACCCACAAAAAACCACTATTCAGCCAATTGGTAACTGAATAGAGTTCCTGTGGACCTTAAACTTAGAGTAAATACCCCACGATCTTTCGATGTGAGATAGAACCTTGCCTGTATTTCGTAGTTTAGGATTTCCCGGTAACTTTTATAAGTGGATGTAATTGTATTTGTTTTAGAATTAAAAATGAGTCGAGTTGAATCGAATTTTAATTTAATTAAAGTTGAATTATAATTTAAATTTGACAAGTTTTCAATATAAAACTCGAGTTCAAAATTTGACTTCGAATCTATTTGAGTTTAAAAAAATTAAAAATAATTTATTTTATTTTTGAAAATAAATGAAATAATCATTTCTCCTTAAAAAATAATAAAAATATTAGAAATTTTGAATCGATTCATAAATTAACGAGTTAATTTTCTTTATAATTAATTTGAGTTCGATAATTTAACTTAATCAACTCGAACTCGATTCGAATTCGATGGAACCGAGTGTGAGCTTCATTCGTTCCCAAGTTCCCCACCCTAACCTACCTGGCCCGGAGGTAGCTGGGTTCCCTTTGGATCTTCATTGGTTCCGTCCACGGTTGCACGAAAGAAATGCGATTAGAAGTCATCCCCGAAAAGGAATCGCATTTGGCAATTGTTTAAGTCGGAACTCGGAATTGTGATAACAAGAATACGTGTCCGAGCCTGACATATTGACAGGTAGAGCCGGGTATGACGAGTCTCAGCAGTCTCGAACTTTGTTATTTATTGGATGCACGTTTGCTTTAGGAAAATGCTTTGCGTGTAGATTCTTGTCACCGCATTTCTTTTTTTTTCTTTTTTTTTTGTCAAGACAATAGATTATCCTACATTATGGGTGGAGAAGGATCTCAAGAGATTTAAGAATAATTCTAAAGAGATTGAATCACAATCGGATCAGACAGGTACATTATATACTAGTCTGAATTTTTAAATAGAGCCATTTTTAATGTGACAAATTGGTGGAAGGTATGATTTGATGTAAAGAGGATTGAAAATTTTGTTTGTTTGGATAAGAGTTTATTTGGATGATTTATTTGAGATAATTACTGTAACACTTTTTGTGATGTGATATATGTGAGATAAAAAGGTGATTAGGAAGATAAAAAGGTGATTGAAATTTGTAAAATAAATTTTTTAATTTGAAATCAAGCTTATCCAAACAAACCATCAACCCCATAAAATTTCAATGCATTAGTAGTGATTACCGGCATCCAAAGGCTGGTGGTTATTGTCACCACCATAGTTATTAAACTCGGTCCGGAGAGGAGACCGGCGAAGGAGGTGGGTCAACGGGTCACTGGTTCAACCACTCGGTTCAACCGGTGGGTGAGTGGTTGAACCAGTGGGTCACTAAATATATTTAAATATTATATCTTATAAATTTTGATATAGGATATATGATATAAACTATAATAAATAATGTCAAAACAAATATTCATTTAATTTAATTTGCTATAGAATATTTAATTCATATAAGAATCAACAAAACATAAATTTAATTAGTAATCCATTAAACTTCAAGTGTAAAATTTTATATGTTTACTGTAATTATCTAGGTTATTTAAGAATTTTAAGTGCAAAAAATTATTAAAAACAATATTTGTCCTTAAAATAAATTATGTAATATGTTATTTTTGAAATCTATTTTATAATTTATAGAATATAGGGGTCATAGGTTTTATTAAAAGATTCTAAATAAATTTGTTTTGGAGAATTTAAAAAAATAAAGATAAAAGTAACAAAACATTCATATAGCATAAGAATGGCCATTAATGAACAAGTGACAAAGTGGCTTGGTGGTAAGCGTTTCATAAACAAGATCGACTCCAAACAAAGGCTTGGAAATACCTTTTTTCCTCAAAACCGGTTGCCCCACAAAACCGGCCGGGTTTTCTGTTTAATCTGGTTGAACCGCCGGACCGTCGAAAAGTCAACGATTCATCTGTATAAACGATCTAATTAGAGAATCGGTCCGATTTAATGACCGGTTCACCGGATTGACCGGTCGAACCGTCAAACCGGGTCGGATTTAATAACTATGGTCACCACATTTTAGTTCTTATTAAATTGATCAAGTTTCCAATTATTAGCTAGTTGTGGAAACTAGGGCTAAGCTGGGTTAACAACGACGAATTTCAAAATTTGTCCATCCAAAAATTGATGTTTCGCCTATTTCTTTTTAAATAAAATGTTCCAACACTGTCATTCATGATAGATGTTCCATCTATCTTTTGATAATTCAAATCGTGACTGACAACGTATGAAACTTGTTACTGTCGATTAATCTGCAACCAGCCTTTTCTTTCTTTTTCTTTTCTTTTCATTTTCCCTTATTTTTTGACAGGGTCAGCAA